CTTTGTTACGTATATCTATTGCAGGCGCCGTGAAGCTGTATATTACATTTTTAAATAATTATTATAAGTTATACATATACGTAACAAAGAAATATAACTTCGTTCAATGTAAAGTACTTTAGAGGAATTTACTAATTGTAAGCACAATGATATTTATGTTTATACGTAAAATAGTATTTACTTTTTAACAATACTGATGACAATTAATGACAAAATACAGTCAGTACTCTAAGAATATATACTTTTTATTATAAAAAGTAACAATGAATAGAAACAAATTCATTTATTTTATATCAAGTTAGTTGCATGAAGTTAGTCGTAAAATAAAGAAAATGAAAATCCAAAACATCAAAACGAAACTCTATAACTCTATAATATCTAGCCATTTAATTGCAAAATCTTTAGAGAATGTGCCCATAATTGAATGAAGATATTATATATGTTTAATTATACATTTCTTAAGTTATGCGTTAAAAATTGAGTTAGTTCTTCGTAATGGACAGATAAAATGATTTTAAAAAATCAGGAAAAGAATATTTTATTTAAGTATCAAGTACTCATTTCAAAAATTTGAAAAAAATATGTTATAGAATAGCATCTAATAATTTTACGGTAAAATTTTTGTGGTGGAACAAAACCGATAAAAAAGCTAAAAAAAAAAATATTTTATTTTTTTTTGCAATGTACCTGGCCTTAAAAATCTTCGAAATTTTTTTACAAATGTATCTTGTCTACATCTACAACATATTTTTTTTATGAAAATTGAGAACCGTTTAATAGATTAAATTTTTTTTGAAATTTTGATTTTTATTTCTCAACCTAACCCCAACGGTTGAATATTAAGGGCTAATGTTTGGTAAAATTGTAACTGATATTGATAGCAACTAAACTGTAAAAAAATGGTTATGATCGGCGCGAGAGCAGATCGCCCCTCCTTATCCAGCTATGGCCTTTAGTCCACACACTTGTAGCGATTGTAGCGACCCGAACGAATCATTGAAACCTTGACGGGCGTGTGAACAACTCGCCAAAGTTTCATCGTAATTGGATGAATGGTTTACGAACGCATACGGGACAAACAAACAAACATTCATTTATATATATATTAGATTTTTATGCTTATAAATAGTTGTACATGTAAATATGCTTTCAAACATCTTTTATGCTATGAATTTAAATTATGTGATACAGTCATTTTTAACCTACCAGCTTTCATATTAAAAATCAGGCTATAAATGTTTCTAAAAAATCAAGCTATTTTACGTTGATAAAAAAATAGTATGACGTAATGGAGCAATTTGAATATCGAATTCAGTTTCAGATCGTCAAAGTAATAAGAATATCATGGTCTAATTTTTAGATTAAACATTAAATTTTTTGTGCTTATATAATTAATATTTTTATATGTAAAATATAAAAGTTAGGAGGATTATATTATGAAAAATCCGTATAGCATAAAAAGCATGTTGCACGTATCGTATCATTTTTCTAAAATTGTAAAATTTTTATTAGTACAATATTTTTTATAAAATCACTTTTTTAGAGTTATAATATAAAATGAGGTACTAGCGCGTGGTGTATATAAGATGTCAACAAGATTTTAATGACCGAATTGCGGGAATATATTATAGATAGAAATAATGAAGAAATGTTATATAGATAGAAGATTTATTTAATATGTAGTTGTAATGCAAAATTAAATAATATAAAATAAAAGCAAATAATAGATTTGCTTTTAAATATCAATAAATTCATTCTTATTATATTAACAATAAAAGCAAATCTATTATTTGCTTTTATTGTTAATATAATGAGAATGAATTTATTGATATTTATCTAATCTCTATGCAAACCGTGTATTACTCAAGATTATGGAAGGTAATACTCTAGAAACTATCAATATAACTTCTATATATTATATAACTTTTTATTAAAATTTATCTATAATTTTTGTTTAGGGAAATGTTCAAACTTTGTAGGAAGAAAGAAATAATGAAAATTTATTAACAGAAGAGTACATGCATTAACATTTATCAAACATTTTCAAGTATATTTTTGTTGTAATTCTCAAATGAAATTTCTATGAATTTAAATTTATATGTAACATTTGTTCTTTTATTCTCACAGAATACATATATTGGCATAGAAAGTTTCGTGGGATAGTCTGTAGATATGTGTCTATTATTATAAAAGTATTTATGTGTATAATACATAAGTACTTTTATAATAATAGATACGTTTATATAGGAAATATTTTGTATATATCACATCCTTGCTTCAGAAGTGATACAATTTGAAAAACATAAATTATTATCATGAATGAGTTGATCTACAATATGCTCTTTGCATCTTGTTTCTTGCTTTTTACCACTTTTTACCACTCTTGCCTTTTTGCCTCTTATATCCTGATCTTTCATTTTTGCCCGGGATAAATGTTGACGAACTTCGGAAGAGACAGGAAACACATGACAAGAAACACGATTCGAAAAAACAGTCGCAAAGAGGAAAAAAGGCAAGAAATAAAAATCAAAAAGCAGGAAACAAACAGCACTTTGTAAAAAAAGGTAAACATTATTCTATCAGTCATCAAAAGTGAATTAAAAGAAAAATAAAAAAAGTATAGAAATAAAAATTGTTACATCTTAAAAAAGGATGGAATTTTAAAGGTTATGAAATGAAAACAATAACCAATATTTGATAACATTTCTGTATGTATATTCTTTTTACCAATTATGGGCTTGTTTTTTTAATATGCTTTTTGCATATTTGACCTTTTTTTTCTCTTTTTTTTTAATGTAAAGAAAGAAAAAGTAAGATGAATTATACAAGAAGTTCAAACTTAAAAAAAAAAAANAAAAAAAAGTGTTATTTGATTATTTCAATAATTTTCTTTTCAATGTAAAAAATTTTTTTATCTCTTTTGTAGTAAACTTAATTTTTTTAGTAATATTATTTTTGAAGAATGGAAAACTTTGTTTGCCTACAGTTTCGTTTGTTATACACACAACCGTATTGCACATAATGCATTGCATACGCAACAATATTGTACACAACATTTGCACATATGACCATATTGTACACAGCGTATTACCCACATAATACTCCACACAACATTATATACACAATCATGTTGCACACATAAAATAAGAAAATCATGTTAACATTTTGTACACAAAACATTGACATTAATAAAATTATTTTAGATGCTTTTTATATTACTTTTTTGTTCACACAGCGCTGTGACAAAGAGTTATACTAAAGCATCTAAAGAAGTAAAGAAATTATTTTATTAATTGATCAGCAACGATTTGTGTACAAAGTGGTAACATGATTTTCTTATTTTATATGTGCAACATTGTGTTTGCAACTTGCTGTGTGCCAATATATGGTCCAAAGCGTTGTGTGCAATGCAATTGTTTGTGCAATTGTGTGTAATAATGTCATGTACATACAAACGAAGCTATAAGCAATCGTTTAGATAAACAAAACGATCTCCTCCATTCTAACAACATATTTTTTAATAAATTTACTTTAATTTTTTTATAAAAAATTTTTATCATAAATAACTATTTCTTTTAGTTTTTATATTGAAGATATAGAGCAAAAGAAATTAACAAATTAAATGATTTATTGAACTGAATTTTGTTATAAATATAGTACCAACTCATAAAAGTAATCTGTATTAAAAAACGTTTTCACTTTTATGTTTTTAATAGAAACCTTGTTAAATTGAACATTACTGTTCAACATACTGCATGCGTATTTACTATTAATTTCTTGCAAATATGAAAAACTGAAGCAATGTTTAGAGATTTTTTATTTTAAATAAATAAAAATTACTTTAATAAAATATAAAATGCTTTATTTAGTCATTTCAGTTTCAGTTCAGAATTGTAATTGTTTTAACGTCGAGAATCCAATCTTCGTCATTGTAAACTAAATAATCATTATCTGAGGAATCAAATATGACCTAATAATGACTCTTTTGTATCCAATCTAAAATGATAACAATAATTTTAATAATAAAAAATATACAGGATTTATTTTAACCTTAACAGTCAAATATTGTAAAAGAAAGGTTTATATTTTACAAAAAAAAAATTTTTAGTTAAAAGTATGATCTGGAGGAAGACAAATAATGATAAAATCAATTGTCGAAAAAATTGATTTTTTAATGTTACATAAGTTATCATCTTTTTTAAAAATAGAATTGTTTTTACATTTTATTCTAGTCTA